TAATTGCAAGCAGTGAGAACCCAGGTTCTACCTTTAGATCACTACCCCGTAATCATTTTAATAAGGAGGGTTCCGGGAGTCAAAGGGTTTGTAAGATGATGGCAGTGTGGTTTTTTTATTTTACCTTGACCCCTATTCTTAATTAATTTTATTATTTTAGTCTAACAAGGACATTAAGCTATTTATATTTAAAGTATTCAAGGAAAAAAAGAAAGGCATACAATTATCACAAATAAAGAACTGTAAAGCCAAAATAACAAATACAATCTAAAATAAAAGGAATGAATACAAAAGCTTGGACATAGGGGAAAAAATTTTTGAAAAGTAAAATATCATCCTTGCAGGGGTAATTAATAAACTGGAAGGTAGTGGTGAAAAATTTATTCAAAGTAGCAAAAGGTAAGAGGCACACTGGGGAGACAATGAGTCACAGAGGACCATGCTACTTTAGATACATGTTGACGGCGTGTGTATCCGTTCTTAAATGCTATGTTATATTTAAAGAAAACCTACATATGTAGTAGGATTATGTAAAACATGCAAAAGAATAATAAATGCTAGATTTATTCACGAAAAGCCGTTTCTTCTGAAGTAGGATGGGGGTTGGGGTGAAAAACATCATTTTGGCCCCATCTCACGGGTCCTTAGCTTCCTGTTACCCTCCTTAGAAAAACGCTTCTGAGGCCTGCAGGTTTCTCTGGGACGCACACAAATGCAATCTGTCTGTTACCTGGCCTTTCACTGCAAGTCATTACCACAATCTTCTGTAAATTACCAGACAAATATGTCACCCATAGCTATTTTCCCCCAGTTATTATATATCTAAAGAAGTATAACAAAATGTTAAGATCTATTGGGACGGCATGATGGGTAACAGCCTCCATTTTAGTTTTATTGTTATATTTCTCTGTCAAGTGGAAAGATTTCATGTGTAAGTCAATTTATGAAGTAAAACATTCTAGGAAGCCAGGTAATTAGCGTAAGTGTTTGTAAGCTCTGCCTGTACACAGAACTGCTCCAAGTGTATGTGCGTCTCTGAATCTCTCTGGGGCTTAGTTACCTCATCTGTGCGGAAGCTGTAATCTGACAAGATAGAGCAAGATGGCAGCCGTGGTGCCTCCAGCCCAGACTTGTTATAGGAACATCCAAACAAATTCGACCCTGATACAGGTGATGCATCAGCTTCACAGCGCTAAAGAAACCCCGGGAGTGAGCACAGTGGCTGCTTTTAGAAAACGCTGAGGGCAAAGGCAAAGTTGCCCTCCATCCCTCCTCCAATCGCAATCGGCACCACCTGTGTTCTGCTTGAAGGAGGAGGAAGAGAACTGAGTTTAGCGCTTCGAAGTGCCTGGACCAGGTGCACCGCCGCCGTGTAATCCATGCTCAGCTGAGCCCCATCCTGCTGCCAGGCCAGTATCCGTGTGCTGAGCAACGGCGGCCATTGTAGCTGCGTTAGACCAGATGGCGGAGAGCTTCTACCTCTCTTCTCCTAATCTTTGGAGGGGAGAAGATAGTAACACGAGTGATCTAAAGGCGGAAGTGGGGATTTCTGGGGATGTCTGGAGGCTGAAGGTTTAAGCAGAGAGGAGAGCAGCTGGATAGGGGAGGGGTATTAGGGAAAGGGTTAACCGAAACTAAGAACACATGAAGAAGGTTTATGAAAACCCGATACTTGGTGAGCTAATTCAAAATAATTTGGGGGGAAAAAGAAAATAACTCTTTCCCATGCACTTGTAATGACTCTCTGAAGCCTGGCCACAGATTTCAAAGGTGTCCCGGAATGTTGAGAATTCCCGCACTAGGATGTGTCACGTGGGTCTGACTCAACACTTTAACACCTAGGCTTGCATACTTGTGGAAGGAAGGGCAGTCTTCCTGCTCCTGCTCCTTCCCAGCACAAACTCCTGGAATTGGTGAATGAGTGCTGAGGACGAGACAGCCAAGGAGTCAATCCTAACAGAGAGCGCCCTTCCCTGGTCGGTTCCCGTAATGATGCCAATGCCGTTTTGGGTGAGGTCCTTTGAATTCCACCGAAACCAGGGGAGTGCCCCAGGCACAGCCAACCTAGAGTTTGTATTTCAATGGTGAAATGTCTCTTTTGGAAAAGACAGAAACACACCTCTAATTAAGCAGGTCTGGGGAAGCAGAACTGTGACGTGTCTGTCCTCAAACCGGTGGGTGTCCTTGTGTAGCTTTGTTCGTCTTTCCCGTCCTGTGGGAATAGAAGCCCCCGTGAGAAAGCAGGCCTGCTACAAAGAAGGTCCTATATTTTACCAGATTGTTCTAGGCTCTCAAGAACCCCAATCAACTGAGAGGCGGGCCCTGTGTGGAGTGTTGTTCTCGTGGTTCCTTCCAACAAGCCAAGGCTCACTGACTCTAAGGAGAGCTCAGCCCGTGAAAATGAGATAAAGCTCACAGTATGGTGCTTGAGAAAAATCCCGCTGTATTAGCTGTGCAGAAGCCAGCGTCCATCCTTGGTTGCAGGCACTTTCCGTTAACAGTAGATATTTATGTAAGTGCAAGAGAAGTGAATTTACTGGGGTGGGGAATGGTAAATAACACAGGGAAGCCTGTGTAAATTTAAGGGAGCTGTGAAAACGAGGTGCTTGGCTGTGGTTACACAGTGTAATCAAGGTATTGGTGTCATGCCAATCAAATAGTTCTGGCTCACCCACCTTATATAAAGCTCACTGCCGTTCTTAATGCCAAACCAAATAGTGACTAATGACATACGTCCTGGGTCGTTAAGGTCTAGAGATGCTTTCCTGGCTCTAACATCATCCTCTAATTATCCCCCTAAGCTCTGTGGGTAGACGCTTTCTCATAAGCTAGGCAAACTAATAGAATACTGATTCAGTGATGGAAGACAACTATGTCCCTTTTCCTTGATCTCCACCAAATGTGGCTGCTAGGGACCAAACTTGGTCCTCAGGAAGGGCAGGATCTGAACTTATTTGTTAGTCTAAGGTAACCTTTGCCTTGGTAAAAAAAAATTTGTCTTAAAGAAACCCATTGTCAGGCAGACCTGGCGGTATAGGCCTGAAATCCTGCTGCCAGGGCAATTTCCATATAACAGATAGTTACCTAGTGTGCTATGCTCCCAAGCTAGTGTGCTAGTTCAAATCTCGGGGGCTTGACGATGTAATGCAAGCTAACTTGTAGCTTACACTGATCTACGTGGTGAGAAGGTCTGGGATAGGAGAACATGCTCCTCAGAGCCACTCAGAGACCCACGCCGACAGAGGCGATACCCTATTCCACGGGCTTGTGAGGTCACATTGTGTGTTAGCGCTCAGAACTATTCCTCCGACTTTCTAGCTTGTCTGGTATTGGGCCAGCTTATTTTATGCAAACTAGTCAGGAACATAAATGAGCCAAGATAGTAAATGGCATTTTTTTTTGCAAAATACAGTTCAATAATAATTTCATTTGCTCTATAACTTAGAGACAATACATCAAATAAGTTTAAAGAGAGGAGGGCCACAGATTAAAATAAAAAGTAAAAATAGCCTATAAGACAGTGGTGGATAGTGATTTAAGCCAATTGCCCACAGGTTAGCTTTTGGGGAGCATTAACTGTCAGTTTTTGAGCATTGAGGCCTCAGAAAAGGACTGGAAATAGTTTACCATAGAGCATACAGCACAAATCAAAAATAAGAATTTTCTAAAAAGGATGTCAAGTGGAAAATAAAAATAGAACAAGACCAAAGGGAAAGTTCTTTGCCTCTAGCCCCTAAATCAGCGGCTCCCAAACTGGAAACAAACGTCTAAATATTTAGCGAATGTTTCTTTTCTGTGAGCATCTAATACTTGATTGGTTTTCAAAATGATTAAAGCTAATACACTGGTGGGCAGCTAAATAGGACCTAAATATTTCCAGGGATATCTATCAAGGAGATCTTGATGAGCTCAAACTTTAGCATCCTTGGCAGCATCTCACAGTCACTAAAACAGTGAAACGACCCTAGCACTGCTTCTGTGGCATCTTTGCTACGTGATGACCGAGGACAATGTCTTGGCGGAGAAAATAATCACTCAGAAGCTATATTAATCACAACACTGCTCAGCCTAGTAGCTTATGCATATCTCTAGGTCACTCTTACATCTTAAATCAACCCTTCTCTATTAACCTGTGCATCACCATGAGGTCGTGGCCTACTGGCAAGATTCCGGCATCTGTCTCCTCTTGTGCTACATGGTGTCTCCCTGGCTCTGCATCCTTTCTTCCAGCATTCAAGCTCTTTCCCGCGAACTGTCTGTCCAGCCCTGGGAGGAAGATGATGAGTTCTGGGCCAGCCTTGGCTGTGGCGTGAGACCCTGGTGGTGGTGGTGGGGATGGGGGTGTTAATTATCACTGAACAAGCCTGACAACCTGAGTTTGGGTCCCCAGAAGCCACATCAAAACTGGATGCAGTAGTGCCTGCACTCCCAGCACACCCTACAAACAGGAGAGTCTGCAGGAGTGAGGACTGGCTAGCCTGGTATACGCAGCCGTGGATGAGAAGGTGGACCGTGACCTATGCTGAGATTGTCCCCTAACCTCTCTGCAGGCACCACGGTATGCACAGATGGTGGCACTTACACAGCTGCACTCACACAGACAAACACAGAATAAATAAAAATGAATAATATTTAGAGAATACAACTATTTGGTGACGTATGAGCGTATGTGTGACCCAAAATGTGCCATGTCAGCAAAGTTTTGTTGCCCCATGGCCCACCCATTGTGTCTGTCAGCTTTGGTACTAAAATAGCAAAGTTGAGTAGTTGCTGGTCATGACAGTGACCGGGGAGCCTAGGAAACTGACGCTTTGCAGAGAAAGGCTGTGTCACCGTCCTCTCCCCAACCTGCCATCTCATCCCTACCGTTGGACTCTTCCCTCCTGTCTTCTCCAGCCCCTATGCCTTCAAATCCTCAGCCCCAGTCCTTCCTAAGCCCTCCCACCTCTCTGGCTGTTGTCACACCAGCCTGATGAGACAGGGATCTTCCTGGTCGGGAAGCTCTGATCCCTGTGGGCCAGTGTTCTACTGCCTTCAGGAGGAAGCTGGTCTTGTGGGGGTTCCACCGCCTGCTTGTCTAGGGACGACCTTCACATGCCCCGCTGCAGCTGACAGAAGGTGGCTCTGGCCTCTGCAGATCTTGTAGCTGGATGAACAGCTCATCTCTCTTCTCTCTTGTAGGAAGCCCGCAGCCACTGGTGCCCCCAAGACAAAAGGAAGAAAAGTACAAGGTGAGCGCTTCAAGGAAAGTGTTTTGTTTTGTCTTCATCAACGATTTTTGTTTAATTTTTTTATTACACGTGTATTGATCTCTTTGGAGGGGTGTGCATATTGTATCATGAGTATAGAAGTCAGAAGGGAACTTGTGGGAGTCAATTTGTCATCAGTCAAGCTGGGCAGCAAGCAAGTGCCTTACATGCCGAACCTTACTGTTCTCTGAGAAAGTTTCATGGAGCCCAGGTTGCCGGTCAGCTCCTGATCCTCCTGCCTCAACCTCCCGGGTGCCATCTAGTTCATGAAAGGGGTTTCTTGGGGGCAGGGGAGACAGAGACAAGTCTGAAACTTCCACTGCTCAGTGGCATGCTTTTGGGGACTCGGGGTTGTCTTTGTCCCTGAGGTGTCTTGTGACTTTAGTTGTCCTTTGGAGAGTTGAAGTCCCTCGAAAGTGTAGCTCTAGATGTGCACAGGCCACAGATCCAAGTTCACTCAGAAACCTGTGGAGCTGCCCGGTGTGGGTGCTGGAAGAGCAAGTGCTCCTCGGCCTCATAGGCTTCTTTTTTTTGTTGTTTTCGTTACACTTCTTGTGGGGCAGATAGCACACGTGGCACACACATGGGGGTTAGGCGTAATCTGGGCGGTTGTTTCTCTCATTGCACCATTGTGCACAGACCAGTCTCTGACCTCTGTTCATCAAATGTAGCCACTTAAAGAATCACCTCAGAGAAGAGCTGAATGACAAACATATGACAAACAAGCCACCCGGACACAAAGAAAGTTTCTAATCAAAATTTCCTAGGTGTGGGCAGATTAACACATACCTATAATCCCAATGCTCGGAAGACTAAGGCAGAAGGATCACCATGAGTTCAAAGCCAGCCCGGGCTCCGTAGTAAATTCAAGGCTAGTCCAGGCTGCAGAGTATGACTATAAATTGTTAAATCTGGGAAATTTACAAATCAAATCATAAGCTCCACAACACCAGAGCAGACCTGAAGATGTAGCTAAGTTTGGTAGACTACTTGCCTAGCATGCTCAAAGTCTGGGATTCCTTGCCTAGCACCCCATAATGGCACACCCCATAATCCCCCACAATCACGCCATAATCCCCATAATCACGTGACTGTAATCCCAGCATTTGGGAGATAGAGACAGGCCAGCTTGGGTGACGTCCAAGGCTATATCAGATTACAGAATGAGTGAGACTCTGCCTCAAAAAGGAACCCAGGACCCAAGTTAGTCACAAGCTAGAAAACACCAGAACCCGTCCAGTTCAGAAGAACAAACCGGAAAGGACCAGCACCCCTAAACTTGGCTTGGGTGGGAGGGAAGGGTACTCCGGGCAGCAGACACATGGTACAATGACAGTATCTCTACCACGGCCCCTCTCTCCCTACTGCAGAACATTCTGGTAACAGAGCAATTTGTAAAAGTCCTGGCTGGGGTCTGTGCCATTCACCCCCAGCTGGATGTGTTATACAAGGGATTGCAGGGTCTCTCCAGCAAGAAAACCGCCTCTCTGTGGACCAACCCCATGAAACTGATCCAGGTGAGCCCCTTAGAGCCTTGGGTCCCAAACCACCCACCCAGCACTGGCTCTGTCTGAGTGCCCATAGGTCCTTTCTAATAAGGCTCCTTGCTATGGAGGCCTGGAGTATTGCCCTAGGTTATTGGGTCACTGGATACTGTGCCTCACCCCAAAAGAAGAGAAGAGCTGAGATATGGTGGAGGGGGGAGGTGGAGAAGGGATGGAGGCACAAGACAGAGTCTACTACCTGGGACCTGCCTTTTACTAATGTGTCGCCAAAGGCAAGTCATTGAAGTCTTAAGTGCCTCAGTCTTTCCACCTGTAAAATGGGAAGAGATTAAAAGGGTGCTTGTGAAGGACGAATTACTTAGCAGTTACGAGGTCATCAGAGTTACGCCCGGACATAGTAAGCGCCCAGAGCTTGCAGCTTCTTTCTGAGACTGGATGCCCCCCTCAGGCAGCTTCTGGTCTCTGGTTGATACGCTCTGCTCCTCACTTTTCAAAACCAAATCTAAAAAGGTCTTACATGAAAATTATGTGCAAAGTTCAAGAAGGCAAAAGGTATCAGGTTTGTTTAGGAAGAAGTGACCCCAATGGAACCAGGGGGAGCAGCCGGATGCAGAGCGACCCCTTGTTTTAAAAGAATATAGAAATGGGCCAGGCAGTGGTGGCGCACACCTTTAATCCCAGTGCTCAGGAGGCAGAGGCGGGTGAATCTCTGAGTAGTTCTGGGACAGCCAGGGCTCTACAGAGAAACCCTAGTAGCTGAAGACTCTGAGTCAGATGCCACTGGATCTCCAGTGGTGTGCAGACTTACAATCACAGTACACAGAATACCTGCCTGGGCTACAGACAGAGTGGGTTCAAGGCCAGCCTAGGCAACTTAACAAGACCTTGTCTCAAAATTCTAAGTAAAAAGAAGGCTAGCTAAGTACATAGGTCAGGGCTAGTGCGTTGGTTTAACGTACGTGAAGTTCCAGGTTCAACCACAGCACCATAAAGAAAAAAGAGAGAGTAGGAAAAAAAATCTTCAGGTACAGACCAGACAAGACATCTGCGTAGACTATAGCTGGAAAGAGGCGACCGTGTGTTTAGAAAGATGGGGTGGATTCAGTAATGACCAAAAAAAAAAAAAAAATGTCACAGAAGAAATATTACAAAGCTCCATCAGAATGTGAAGTCAGGACATCCCAGGATGAGGCAAAGAGAAAAGAAGGACCTCCCGGCAGAAGTGGGGCTGGGGAAGGTCCTGGATGAAGGGGAAGAATTGGAATGATACAGAGCCTGGAAGATGGTTCTAGCAAGAGGGTTTCTGCCAGCAGAGCAGGGAGGGTTTGCACACTGACAGTGCAGGCAACCTTCAGGGGCACTGGAGACAGAACCAAGTCAGTCCAATTGAGGAAGCCTGGGACGCCAGACTCCAAAAGAAGCTGGAAAGCCCAAACTGGGCTAGAAGTGGTTGGACTCCTCAGACTGCAGACCTTGAGTTGGGGTTGGATTCCATTCGGCATAGGGAGCCATGAGAACTGTGGAGCCCTGGAAGCGGCATGAGAGATGCTACCTTTAAGGTGCCTGGCAAGGCTGTTCCCCGTNAAAAAAAAAAAAAAAAAAGTGACAGAAGAAATATTACAAAGCTCCATCAGAATGTGAAGTCAGGACATCCCAGGATGAGGCAAAGAGAAAAGAAGGACTTCCCGGCAGAAGTGGGGCTGGGGAAGGCCCTGGATGAATGGGAAGAATTCCTCCCAGCAACGCTAAAGCATCCCACGTGTAACACCACTATAGCTCACTCTTGCCTGTGTTGCGATGTACTTGTCAGTACCAACCTCTGATGTGGGTTGCATGGGGGAAGGAACGAGGTATCGAGGGAAAGAAAGTCTCTATAAGGAAGAAATACAAATATAAACGAGTGCCTTGACCTGAGCATCCGGCAACAGGCTACAGAAACTCGCCCAGCAATGGTAGCCGTGACAGAAAGGTAGCGTGGCACGGGGAATGGTGATGGGGCTTGGTCTTGTGCTGTCTTCTGACCCATCATCCGACCTTATATATGTAGTGATATTTTGTTTGTGTTTTAACAAATAAAGCTTGCCTGAAGATCGGGAGTGCAGAGCCAAGCCACTAGAGGCCAAGGAGTGGTGGCACACACCTTTAATCCCTGGACTCAGGAGACAGAAGCAGCTGGATCTTTGTGAGTTCAAGGCCACCCTGGGCTATGTGAGATTGAATCCGGCTAACAGAGAATCAGAGCTCACACAAAGGTGATCTCGGCAGTTGGGATCCCACGCCTTTAATCCCAGCACTAGGGAGGTAGAGAAAGGCTGGGCAGAGAAATAGGAACATAATGAGGAAGAGACAGAAGCTTAGTAGTCTGAGGTTTGGTGGAGACAGGTGCAGTCTGAGGACAGGATTGTCCCTTCTGTCCGAGCATTGGTAGAGGTAAAAGATTCTCTAGTGATTGGCTGCTCTGCTTCTCTGATCTTCAGCATTAATCCCTATATCTGACTCTGGGTTTTTATTATTAATACCTACAGGAATTCGTCACTGTCACCGTTTTAAATGGGGGTAAATGAAAACCGCACATAATAAAGCACTCAGCACAGAGGCCTGGTACACACATGAGACAACTCTTAGGAGGTCCCCTCCCCTTCCAAAGCCTAAGATATATAGAAGGAGGGTATGAGAGGAGCTTCAACACTTACACTAAGTCTCAGAGGGTGGTGCTGGAGGTGGGGCAGGGACTAGGCTAAGAACCACTTTTAGCTAAGGAGGAACCAAGGGACCTAGCCCCACATTTGAGCCCCCCTGCAGACTAGAGCTCATGGGTATATGTGTGTGGGGGCGGGGGGGGGGTTGGCAATGTTCTCTAGCCTGGAAACACCAAGACAACTCATGAGAGGATGGAAAGGCAGTGAGGATGGTGTGGGTGAGAAGCTCTGAGATGGTGGTAGAGAATACTTTAATGGGCAGGTAGATCGTCTGAGGATATTGTTTGAAATACAGTTCTGATACATATCCTTGGAAAGCGCTTACAAGTCTGCATTCCTAACAAGTCACCAGGTAGTGCCTAAGTGGCAGCTCCACATAGCATACTTAAATGGAAACAAAACTGCAGAAAATATACATTTGCCCTTGCTAGTAACGATCTGATCAATGTTAGCTTCCTAACAATACTGCATGCTTTGAATAGATATGGTGATAAACCACCTGGGCTTGAGCTGAGGTGACTCATCAGAACATTATCTTGAAATCATAATAAATGATCTTAAATTCTTTTTCCAGTGGGGGAACCTTTGGCTTCAGGGCCTTTTGTGTGTTTATCAGGATGAAGAAGAGCAAGAAGAAGAAGAAAAAGAGGAGAAGGAGGAGAAGGAAGAGGAGGAAGAGCAGAATGGCTCTGTCTAGGAAGAGAATAGAGAGGACACTAAGAAGTCATATTGGAGAAATGGTCATGTGATGTTTAAAGTCACTTGCTTGCTTGATACT